GGAAAAGTGGGGGTCGTCTTGTACATGGGGGCGTCTTATTGACGGAAAAATACGGTAATTCTTCAGGTAGTCTGACCAGCCCATTAGATTGGCATCTGTGGTAATCTGTTTATTGACCCTTTGAAGGGCATCCCTGTGGCTACATTGGCTGGGATTAGTTACGACAGCAAGTGCTTGGCTGTTTTGCCTGCAGCCTTTAAAATTACTCATGCTCTGTTGGTGATCAGCTCTTGAAACAATAGGAGCCACTGCAGGGGCTTGGCATAGAAATTGGCCCCTGGTACTGCATCTTGGTGCTGCAATCATCATTTTGTGCAGGGCCCTTAGCAATTACTTCTTAGATGTCTCTTGCTGCTCTAGCAAATTCTAAATTTGTAGTTGTTTCTCTAAAGAGTAAAAGCACTCTGCAACATGTTACTCTTGCCTTTTTTTTTATGTTGGTCCTCTTACTCTATCTGCTGGGATTGCAGCAGGTAAAGTCACTGCATCAGCCAGTAGAACTGCAAGTTCCTCCATGATTTTCCTAGGCAACCAATTGTTTATCCACAAGGTGAGTGATTTGTTTAATCCTGGGCCAGGAACATCTTCTTTCAGACTTACAAAAGAAATCTGGAAATAAGACCGTCAGGCTTTTCAGGCTCTGTTGTATTAAGTTCATAACCAATCCAGATCAGTCACAACATAAAATGAAAAATATATACATGTAGTCCTTGCTTACCAACCATTTGTTCAGTGACTGTTCAAAGTTATGATGGTGCTGAAAAAGGAGACTTACGACTGGTCCTTGAAGTTCTGGCCATCCCAGCACCCCCATCACATAATTGCAATCTGGGTGCTTGGCAACTAGCTTACACTTACGACCACTGCAGTGTCCCATAGTCACATGATCACAATTTGTGACCTTCCCTGCTGGCTGCCCACAAGCAAAAACAATGGGGAAACCAGCAGGGAAAGTTGCTAATTCCTCGGGTAAGTCCCCCCCACCCTGCACCAGTCCACCCAAGCCCCGCCAGCCTCTCGTGCACCCTTGCACATCCAACAGCAGCCACTTACCTGTCAAGGTTTGCTTGGTTAAAGCAGGAATCTGTCCACGATGTCCTCAGCTCCTAGTTGAAGAAAGTACTCAGACACAATAATTAGTTTTCAGTGTCTATTTATATACATACAGCAATATACAGAAGTCCTCTGACAAACAGCATACAGCAGTTCCACAGCGGTCCAATGAGTCAATATAATAGTATCCAATCCAAGTTCAATGTAGAAAAGCGAGGAGAGAA